AGGGCAGAGACACTGGCAATGTTCTGGGATACTGCACAAGTATGGAGACCTGGCTGGTACCAGGTTCAGGGGGCAGACAGCAAGTGGATAATAGAAGCATATCTAGCAGCTCATAGGTGAGTGTATCATGCATCTGAGTGGTCAGTGCATTCAGGACAGAAATGTGCAGACAGCCTTAATCACCAAGGGAGGGAATCTTGTTAGATATGAAACTGGGCATTAGGAGACATGAACTGTGATCTTGTCTGTGCCACTGTCTGGGTATGGGTGTGTCCCCCTGAAAAAGACACCTAGGGAAATATTTTTAGGCTTCAGTGCATGAAGTCAGACATCATCTTAGAGGCGCCAGTCAAGCACACAGTAAACAAAATCTGTGAGGTTTTAGGATGTGTTCACATGGAGATCCAGGTGCTCAGCCCTTCTGAAAAACAGGGCTCTTTCTCAAGCACCACTATCCAGGCTCAGGTACTTAGCCCAGGCACCGAATGTGAGGATGCTAGCAGTAGCTCGTCTGTGCTTCATGCCCCAGGCAAGCAGTACCTTCCAGCTGGCCAGCACCGCAGTACTCCTTGCACTCCTTCTCTGTGTAGAATTTGTTCCCATTGCCTTGGCATCCTCCATAGTTGAACATAACGCATTTGTCCTGGCTTGCATCGAAAGCCCAGAGTTTCACCTGTTGCTGACAGGGCCCTGGCATGATGGGCAACCTGCAGGAAGCTAGGAGAGAGAGACAAGGGAAGAGAAATGGGCTTAATAAATCCTTAAACTGGAGCCAGTTGGAGAAAAACCTAGTCTTGTAAGCTGCCTCCAAAGGTCTGTCCCATTGGGCAAGGCAAGGTGGGGTACCCCACAGGATGGAAAGTGGCTGGGGGAGGAACTAACAGGAATTCCTAATTAGGTGCAGACCGCTTCTCTGAGAACTCGCCCATATAGCTAAGGGTTTGTGTCCACACATAGGTTGTATCTTCTTAACAAAACTAGTATAATTCAAATAATACAAATCCTCCAGCATAGACACAGCTCTGCTATTGCACATGTCTGTACAGGAGCACACACAGTGCATCAGAACACTTTTCCCACTCTTCTCTGGACTGTGCCTCTGTACTGGGATAGTTGCTTCCCATTTGGAGAAGGGAACCACACAGCCCAGGAGGCACCCTTGGCCTTGTTGATGCTAAGCTGCCTCTTCCAGAAGAACTTCTGGCAGCAAATAACAGCTACTCTCCACTCAGTTGAGAGCAGCAAAACCTGCATCCAGCTCTGGCCATTCTGCACAATTGTCACCAGAGCTTGAATGCCCCCCAGAAAGCATAGGAGTGTCTATACTTCTTCAGCTGGCTACTGGATGGCAGCAGATGCCTCGCTCTATTCAGCAGAGATGGTACTACTTTGCAGTGGGCGTGTCTACATGTGTCCCTACAGCACCTTTGTTACTGCGCCATCATTTAGTACTTCCTTTTGGAAGTACTAAATGACGGCACAGTAACAACCCATACTGCATTGTGCTGGCAGCGCAGTTATTTTTAGCCCCTCTATTGCCATAGCAACATGCTACAATGAGGGAGCACGTTGCTACAGCAACATAGCTGTGGTGTCATTGTTTGTGCCCGCTGACGCTATGTTGCCATAGCACATTGCTCCAGCCATGTAGTATCATGTGTAGATGCACCCAGTGTAGACTAGATCTTAATACCCAAGTGACTGCAGTTTGTACTGTTATGACTGCATGGGTAAGAAATCCTGCCCTTAACCGATATGGCTGTAAGTGAGTAGAAAATTGCTGTAGACAAAGCTGAAGACTTTCTGGAGTGCCCAACACTGTGATATAACCTTTCCCCTCACTGCATCTCTGGAGGGATGATCTCTGATACACTGAAGAGCACACCAGTTCTGAGCTCAGTGGAGAGGGATGGGAAAGCACAGAGATGCTATAAGGAGAGGTAAAATCCCTGCAGCTAGCCCTTGGCTTACTGCACACAGCTTACCCAATGACAGGTTTGCATCCTGTCATTGGGCAATACTTAGTGACATTATATAGATCCCTTCATCCCAAATTCCTCCATCCAGAGACTATTAGAGTCATTACTGGTGATAGCTTTAAAATGTGCCTGAATGGGAGCCCCTAGGAAGTAGATGTAAGAGGTTGGTATCTTCCTTTCTTCACTGGAAAACACCCCTCTCCCTTTTAAGGCTACATCATCCTGTTAGGACTCAGGCATGGCTGACTCTGGGTCTCTTTCTGGACCTGGATGACTCCCCAGAGACATCAAAAAGCTGCTGTGGCTCTCCTACAAGGCTCTGCATTTGTTTCTCTGCATGGGGCCTTATGAGCCTATGTTGCTTGCCCAAGGGGAGAGCCCTAGTGTGCACAGATCAGGACAACCAAACTTGATCCTGCCCTCCTCACACTGGCACAAGATCATACCAGAGACCCTTGGAGTCATGCATCTGCCCCACTTACCCTCAGTCCGACATGCCTGGAGACAATCCTTCTCTGAATGGAAGTTATTCCCATTCCCCAGACAACCACCATAGAGGAAGGTTTCACAGGCCCAGGAAGAGGAGTTGTAGAAATGTCTAGTGATCGCCCCCAAGCAGGGGCCAGCATCTTTGGTCAGCCTGCAGAAATCTAAAGAAAACAAGATGGTTGACCCTAAATGAGGTGAATTGGGCACCCACAGAACCATCCAGCAGGTAACAAGGACTCCTCAGGGCTACACCCTTTGCCCACCAGACCACCTCCCCTGAGGCCTAGCCAAGCAACTCACACCTATAGGAAGATTCATTTATCCACCCTTTATAATAATCCTCTTGTCAGCAATGTGGGTGCTACTTTGACTTTCCCCTGTAAATGTGGCATATTCCCAGGGAGGTCACCCACACGGAAGAACGAGGAGGAGTGATGGTTGGTCCTGGACTAGTAGCTCCTTGGTAGTCCAGTATCTTACTACCTTGCTGGGCAAGGGAAGGTAGCTCTATATCATTGGAGCAAGGGGATTCCCAGTTGTCTGATAAGATGCACTTCACTTGCTTCTTGTCTTGGAAGGTCCTAAGACAGCAAGCCTGAAAGTCACAAGACCTGGAGGTCTAGAAAAGCTGCTTTAGGTAAAATGTAGACATTGAAGTGCTGAGGCTGCACAGTTGTTTTTGTGATTTCAAACAGAAACTGAGGAAGAACAGTCATGCTGCAAGTAATCCACCAATACTACACTCACACTGATTAAACCTGGGGATACTGACCTCAGTGTATGGGGACCCCAGACATACCTTCCTTATGGCCAGTGAATGTTGGCAGGGGACCACCAGCAGAGCCTTCTTCTTCAGGCAGGACCTCTCTCCGAACCCTCTACATACAGAAGAAAAAGCTGTCATTTAAGCAAGCTGATCCCTTTGTTGGAGGCTTGCAAGTCCCCATCAGCAATGCAGTGGAACATCTGGGGACCATAAAACCCAGTTTCTCTTCTAAACTGGGGAGAGATGGGAGGGGACACAGACACTCTGCACACCTGACACAGACCTGTAGGCCAAGGGGCCCAGCCTTCCCACTGGGCCAGGATCAGGCACCAAACAAGGGCAAGTGAAAACAGGCTGGAAAAATTGTTGCAATTTTTCACACACCTTCAGCTTTTCAAAGGCTGGAACATTACAAAGAGCCCCTCCCTCCACACAGCCTGCACCCCTACTTCAGGCATAGAGTAGCTATCAGTACTTATGTGTCTAGGACTGTAGACATTGCCAGGCCAGGCCACACCAATGATCCAGCTAACCCAGTGCCTTGTCATAGTGTTCAATACTAAACATGGCAGAGGAAGAAGCCAGAAACCTCATAAAGGACAGTTATGAAATAATCTGGCTAAGGGAAAGTTATTTTGCTGAGTGTAGGTAGTCAATGGTCAGCTCGTGCCCAACACAGGCATGTTATCTCCCTTCATGTGTTTTAAATCCAGTATTAAATAACTTTGGAAACCCTCCTTTCCTGCTCCTTCTTTTCAGTTCAGCTGGCCTGGACAATATCTTGTGGCAGCAAACCCCACTGGTTATTTATGACTTGTGTATAAAACTGAACCTTCTCAGTGCCTTAGACCAGCCAGAAGCTTTGCAGAACTGGACTCCAGGGAGAGGTAACAGGACAGAAGGCCTCTCTCCTCGGTCATTTAGCCATTGTATGTGGCTGATGAGTTTCCTATAGTCCCAGTATATCATGGGTTTCCAGGAAATAGAAGATCCAGAATGGGCTCTCCCAAGGAAACACTTCCAGCTCAGTGCAATCCTCTGGAGACCCAAGAAACGAACCTCATTTGATTCCTACAGCACAACTCACCGAGGATTCAGTTTCCGTTTCAGTCTCACTGGGAATACATTCACCTGTACCAAGGAACAAGCACAATGTTAGCAGGGAGGGAGCTAGGAAGGGGGGTTAGAAGCTGTTGTCACAAGCAGGCACCTCCTAAAAGGCCTTCCCAACTGTTCATTGTACCCCTAACATCTTCTGAGACACAGGGACACACACAAACTCTCACACTCTCCACTCTCTACCTTTGATCTCCCCAGTAGACAAGAAGTGAGGACCTGGTGGTCTCAGATGGGAAACTAGGAGGCCGAGGGACAAGGAGTGCCAAATGGGCTGAGTGTGAAGGCTGCTCTGGCCCATGTGGTGGAACCCAGAGAAGATACTGCAGGGCAAAGACGCTGCTACAGAGTGATGATGGAGAGAGCTGTCAGACAGGAGAACAGTTTGTTCCTGGACTCCAGCCTGATGGGGAATGCTGCTACATGGACACATACTATATGTAAGACTCCAGGTGGGAAGTGTGCCTCTCTAGCTGTACCATCCCCATAGTGTGCAGGCAGCTTGGAGCACGTTGTAAACAACAGCTTTGTGACAGTTTGCTCTGGCCAACAACTGAAAGTGAACAGGCCCCATGAGAGCCCAGGTCAGGGTGTATGATCCGTTAGAGAGATGGCCCTGTACCCAATGCTCTTCACTGCCTCTCCTGACCCACCACAGATCTTCTGCTGCCTCTTCTCTCTTACTTCTCACTCCCACACAGACTGCTCTTCTCAGCCCACCCCACCAGCCATCCTTCATGGAGCATGCTACCACCTTATCCTGCCCTTCTCAAGGGACAGTGTCATGGAGGGAGACTGGCAGTACCAAGAAGAGAGAGCCACATGGAGAGACAAATAGATGAAGTGTCCAGGCAGAATGGAGGAGAAGCCCCTGACAGCAACCCCCTGATTATTGCTTGGTTACCTTTATTGATCAGGATGAAGATGGAGTCATCAGGAATGTCCAGCTCACGAGCAAGCAGTCGGAACTCCTCAATGAGGCTCTCTCGCACATCTGGGCTCCTCCCTAGGCACCAGGAGAGAAACCAATGCTTAACCATGGTGTGGTGTAGGGCTTGGAAGAGAGATAGGATCTCAAGATGTGCTATTTCCCCTCCTACAGCACTCCTGGAGCCAGCCCAGTGAGTAGGAACACGGCATTTTCCAGCCTGGATTAGGCCTCTGTTTCTGTGTACATCCAAGCAGCAGATAAAGGCCAGCCTCGCTATTGCACCTCCATTCTGAATAACAGCATCCTCTGCCACCACTGCCCCGAGCCTCTCCTAAAAAGGTATTTCCTCATTCACACCAAAGGATACCAGATTCAGGTACAAGGTGTGTGATACAAGCCTTCAGGCACACGGGGAACTCATTCCATGTCATTCAGCTGGGCCGAACCTGAGTCACCACAGCTAGAGACCAAGAGCTCCAAACAGCTCAGATTAAACACAAGGGTAGCTGCTGTTGTTCCACATGATGCACACACCAAAGTTCATTCGGTTTTATTAATGGGACAGTGAAATGCCACAGTCAGTGGTGTTTACCATAGAGTTTCAGTGTTGTGGTCAGTCCAAAGTTGCTTTTCTTCTCCATTAGCATGATGGCATATTCATCATAGTTGGTGTGAAGCACATAGGAGACAATGGATACCTCCCATTCTGTATCAAAAGGAAATGCACACAGAGCTTTATAGTAAGAACATCCAGGGGATAATTTTCTAAAGGCAAATGCATAGGATAGAATCAGCATTTAGAACAGGGAAGGTGAAGGCAGGCAGTTGGCAGGGATGAACTAGTCCTCTCTGAAACTGCCTGCTTCTACCCTAGCCACTGTACCTGGGAAAGGGGCACCAATGAGGTTTAATAGCCCTCAGTGCAGAGAGAACTAACCCTAGGGCATTTCACAGCCTGTCCATTGTAACATGACACAAGCATTTCAGCCCTTATTGTCTAACTAGACTAATGAAAGCTACAACATTCAAACTTGGGTACCCAAATGCAGCCCTGGGTTCTCTGTTTAGACACTGCAATAAGGTATCCCATTTTTTAAACAATGAGTACTGGACCCACAACACTGCTACCATATTACTCCCATTTTATGCCCACATCATTTGGTCAAACACAGTGGATGGTAAGCAACACCTTGAAACCTATTCAAGAGAGAAACTAAACAGTGCACTTTTCACTGTGGTGGCTACTGTGTGCACCTTCTAGGATCTTCAAAGTTAGAGGTTGAAGATGTCTGCTAAAATGGCCAGTCTGATCCTCTGCTACTAAAGGATTAACCTGCACTCCACATTCTTCAGGGTTTTTCCCTTAATGTTCCAAGCCCTGGAGTTTCCACCATTTCCATTGGGAGACTGGTGCCCATAGCTCCACATTAGACATGATCTCCCAGAGATCATTTCTTTCCTTTCCTTTCATCTCATTACTCAGAGCTGCACTCTCATTCTCTTTTTATTGTTAAGTTTTACATCTAGGAGTTGTAAGTAAATGCAGCTTTAAGACCAAAGCAGAAGGATGACCATTCTCAAACTTACTGGGGTTGTGATAGGTGTATTTTCCAGGTATATTGGTTTTCTGGTACTCTCCCGAAACCCTGGTGCAGACGCCTTGCCTGGGAAAGGGTGGGGGGCAGGGAGAGAGAGAAAAAAAAAAGTCTCAAGTCATTGTAGCTTTTCCCCTTGGCACTGGTTCATTTTATTAATATCAGATCTAACCACTAGATGTTGCTAGTCACTGCCAACTGAAATAACATAGATCTCCACACCTCTGGATCCACCAGCCCTATCCCTCACAAGAAGTTCTCATATCTCCCCCACAAATACAGTCTCTGGCCCAACTTTTAGCCCTGGACCCTCTTTAGCAGTGAAGGAGGGAGCAGGATTTGATGCTGTGTGACTAAGGCAGTGGTTCTCAACATTTGTAAATTCTGAACACCCTTTATTATACTCAAGGCCCCCCTCAGAAAATGCCAGCTCTTAGTTTTCATCCATTTTTACCCTTGACGCTGGAAGAAGTCAGTGTTTACATCCCTGCAAAACCTTTGATGTCAACAGAACCCTTGATCGTCAGCTGAAATGTCCCAGGCACATCAACTTTATTTAGATCTGGGATGAAGCCAAATCTGGATCAGGGAAAGTGCCAGTGCTTTGTGCTATCTACCCATACTGAGACTACTCTGATAATCACTTGGGTGCTGTTTTGACCACTGGTATTTGGAGGGTAAAATTCATTCAAGTCCACTCCCTCCTTTGAGGCTGGAAGTCCAACCAAGAGGAACTGGCCATCTGTAGTCAATGCCTCCTTCAACTCCTTCCCATTGAATCTACAACTTTGCATTTCTCCATCCATAGATCTCCAAAGGTTCCAAAAAAACAAGCTTGTTAATGTTATCCCTCCCCTGGGCCCTGTAAAACCAGGAACATGACCAAGACCAAACAGCAACTCAAGTGGCAGAGCTAGGAACAAAACTCACATCTTCTGATGCATGTTCTGCACGTGAAATCATGCTGTTCCTCCCACTGCTTGACCACCACAGTAGGCAATATGTGATTCAGTAGTGCAGGGGAGTGTCATAGAAGGGGCAGGAGCTCATCCCAGAAGAAATTAGGCCCACTGTGGAGTGCTGCAGCCTCAGCTCTCCTGGATTCAGCTGCCAATGCCCAGATAAAAGGCTGGTGCAGTATATACCTGTGCCATGCTCCTGTGTTTAGTATCACCAGGGTGCAGTATGTCACATGAGCAGTGAGATGCCCCAACTCTTCCTTCAACAGCACCTACCTGAGCCTGGTGCTGGTGGTGCTGATTTGATCACTGGTCAGGCCAGGTTCCAGCACCAGCGTGCCCATGTTGAATTTGTCCTTGTAGTTCTTCATCCACTGGCATGTTGTGCCAATGGCAATGTCATACCATTTCCCATAGATCTAGGAGAGAAGAGAGCACAACCCATGACTGCCCCAGCCCTTCACTTTGCAAACAGGAGCTGAGGCAATTCCACACTATCATCCTTCCATGGCTGGGAGTTCAGTGTTTTGCTTGGAACAAAGCCTACATGGACACACAGGCAACAGAGCAGGAAAGCCCAGGTTGTTAAATTAGCTGCACAGTGATATACAAGTGCCACATGAGCTTATCATACAATATCTTATTTTTAATTGGAGCTAAAAGACCACTTTGAAGGTTACCCTGCCAGAGGAAAAGAATATGAGTACTAATGAAACAAACAGATCCTGTGGGCAGGAGCCTTCAGGAGGTGAATTCAGTATCTCTGAACTTGTTACTTCTGGAGTCTCTGGAGACCTGTCTTCACTGGTTTATTTTCATACCTTTTGGACAGTGCCTCTACTGGCTACTAGGCGAGCCAGGGTCACAAGTGCCAGGGGCACTAAGGAGAAGCAATGGACAATTACTTAAATCCATGCCATTTTTCCACCTGGAAAAGCCATCTAATTCCTTCTGGAGTGGCATATTTTAAATGGAATCCATTAACCAAGACAGCACAGCTTTAGATGCTGGCAACAATTAATTTAATAGCTTTGCCCACAGTGAAGTGTTGTTCCATTACTCCCTTTACTTCCCATACTAATTTTCATTGACATCCTATAGCTCCCTGTCTCTGCCCAATAAAAATCCTAGTCTGTGGCTCCCAGCCCCATCAGCATACAAGGGGATCCCACATGTGTACAATGTGCATTTTCCATGTTTATTATATTGGTGATCAAACAGATCACATGCCAGATTCACTTTACAGCTGTGCCCACGTCTCATCAGACTAGAACCTGACAACAATTGAAAATCCACACGTATCAGCTGGGAGCCCACCCTCTTCATTTTTCTCGCTTACTTCTGAGAGTTAACATAAATGTTGGACAATCATTACCCGATCTGGGTCGAAGTTCTCCTGCACTTGGATATCCCGATCTCCAATGGGGGTCCCACTGGCTGTGGCTAGGAAGAGAATGAAGAGGAGACCCTGGAACTTCATGGCCCTCAGATCTGTTGTGCCCCTCAGCCTCAGCACAAATGGATTCGGTCCTAGAAATGTGGACACTGCTCTCCTCTCCAAGGGACAGGAAGGTGTACTTCAGACTCCTGAGCACAACAGGAGGTGAATGGCCTTGGGTGGGTGGAGCATGTTTGGGCACATCAGAGGTGGCATGTGGGAGGCGGCAGAGCAACTTGATCCATCTGAGCGGACAACCTGTTAGCTCTGCTTTGCAGTATGTCTTCCTACAAGCCAAAAATGAGCCAGGAACAGACAGCAAAGCAAACAGCAGCATCTTATATGATGTGCTTCCGCTTTCAAGTAACCTCGGCTGTGAAAGCGAGGGACTAACCAGCTTTGTTCTAGCCAGGACTTCTCTTCTCAGCACTGTGGTGCCCCTCGTTCCAGCCTAAGCTCCAATCCATCCCCCTCTGTCCTTGCTGGTCTCGCCCACACAAAAATACCTTTAACTCCAGCCCTTCATTCCTCCTGCTATTCCAGCCCCGGGCTTCTCTCTCAGCCTGAGGAGCGTATGAAATTGTGTGGTGCCCTGGCGATCTGAACCACTATTTGTTAAAGATTCAGAGGAGCAGATACCTCTGTGAGACCCCCATTTGTCCCCAGGTGCAGAATGTGCATCTGCAAGTGCCCGGATAAAAGGCTGGTGCAGTCTAACACCGTCCAGTCCCCTAGCACCTTCCATCAGAGGCCTGCAGTCACAGCCACCTCAAAGCTCATGCGATGTCTCATGGGATAGGTGCTATGAAATGGGGCCAGAGTTATGCAGTTCAGCGACAGATGCCTTTGTGTGGCACTGACCATGGCAGAAAGAGGGGTGGGAGGGGCTGTTAGGAACAAAGATCGAAGCCATCTTGTGTTGGTGGTAATGTGTTGCTGTTTTCCCTGGTAAAATGCCATTATGTAAGGAAACCTATCTCTGTGTGTTGAACCCATAGTGAGTGCTATTGCATCCATTGTCAAATAGGGAAACTGAGGTTCAGAGTGATGGAGTGCCTTGCCTCAGGTCCCTGAGTGATTTGGTGTCCAGATGAGTGACTTAGGGTCCAGTCTTATGACGTGGTGTGTGTCTGCTTGAGGCTACTGACTGACTTCAACTCCTACTGAAGTCAATGGAAGTTCAGGGTATTCAGAGCTTGTAGGAACTGATTTAGGATATGCTTAAGAGCCAGTTCTGTGGTTTCAACTCATCACTGCTACTCAAACTATTGCACTGATGTGCAGCAACACAGGCAGACAATGCAAAAGAGACTCCACTTGTTTCTGCAGAGTCACTCTGCACTGATCTCAGAATTTGGCCAATTGGCCTTGCAACTTTAGTGGACTTCAAACCAGGATCAGAAGACTGGTTTCTTTAGACATCAGTCCCATCTGGTAACTCAAACATGAATTTCCACTGGCTGAACCAGTAGTAACTACTGTACATGGAGCTATCCTCAAAGGTTAAGCTAGCTTGGCTGGGACTCATAACTGTCAATCAATCTGAGAATCAGTGCAAGTCACTGAGTTATTGCAACCAGAAAAAAAAAAAAGAGGCTATTTTCTCTCCCCACAAAAGACAAGTAAGCGGTAGTTTCTTCATTTGTTGCTCCCTGATTACACCTATGCTTGGATTTGATTGGTTGCTGTAATGATCAAAAAGCTGGTTGGATCAGAGGTTGGAATCCAAGCATTAGGTTTGAATCCATTCCCACCACAGTCTATTTTGTGAACCATATGTTGTGATTATCTAGTTTCTCTTGTACTGTCACCCCACAGCAAGTCTTGGTAACTGGCAATAAACCTAATGCCACAAATCCCCAGCATCTCAGAGGCTTTTTTTAATAGCATGTAATAACTCCAGAGAGAGAAGGCAGGGCAGAGTGGCATCTTATAGACAGAGGTGAATCCAGATCGATCCTGAGGGGCCATCACACTGTGTGCGCCTCTGGCTGTTGCCCATGACTGTTTGTGCTCAGCAGATGATTAACCAAACCAAATAGAGAGAGGAAAACTGCAAACAGAACAAAGGGCAGGAAAGATGCTTAAAAGTCAAGGTTTTAACCCAATATTCGCAAACAAAAAACCACAAAGAGCAGCCTGCAAGTCCCCTGCTGCCTTTGCCTTCTACCCTTCCTGCCATCTGCTTCACTCTGCCTTCTCTCCAGACCCCTAGACCAGTGGGTGTGCAGCCAGAGGAAGGATGTATTTAGCCCCTCCCTGGGTTACCAATGTAGAGTGCTGTAGCAGAGGGGCTAAGGCACCTCTCTATGGAGGTGATAGTTTGAGTCTCATTCTGGACCCCTGCTGAAAGCTGCCCCTATGTGACACAGCTGCAGACACCTGGCTTGGAAAATCAAGGCCAACTGGATGGTATATTGCCTGGAGTGAGCTAGGAGGATGGTGTACCTGAGAATGAATGTACTAGGACAGGGGTAGAAAGATGCTACATCGTTGGAAGCTGTTGAGATCGGAGATAATTGCCATAAAACTTGGGATCCTCTCCTAGCACTGGGCACTTGTCCAGTTCAGACAGGCTCTATCCTGACTCCATGGACCTGTCTCCTGGCAGCCTTTACAGGGGTCGAGGGGGATAGGAAATCACTGCTGGTGCCTGGACTTCCTAAGCTGCACATGGACTAAAACTGAACTTGCTTGGAGTCTGCTGAGCTTGCCGGATACAGAGGTCAGCCACCTTGGAGAATCCTAGCAAGTGGGGTGGGAAGTGGGGGGACGACAAAGTAGCACCCTCATAGCGTCTTAGGTGGGGAAGTATGTCTGCTAGAAGGTAAGCAATGGGTTTTCTCCATGTCCAAAATCTCATGAACCATTTGTAGGAAGGCCACCATGTGTTCAACAAGGCTGGTGCCAAGCCAAGCACAGGATCACCTGCCATGGTTATTCACCAAGCATAAACCATGTTAATCACCACAGCAGCTCTCATGTCAAGAGCCAGGCAATTAGCTTGAAAAAGGACATTCCTTCCAGGTGACATACAGTCCTTGGCAATCTGGTGGTTTTCGCACCAGATGAAAAAGCGGACCTTTTAACAAATTGTTTGCCCCCATTTTTCTGAGCATGGACCGAGACATCTCCCCCACCGGGATTCTGGACAGACTCAGGAGAGGCACCACCAGGCCTAGAGTCAGAGAGAACCTAGTTAGGGAACTTCTGGTGGGGTGGATATGTTCAAATCGGCAGGTCCAGATGATCTCCATCCCAGGGTGCTGAGGGAATTGGCAGGGGTCATTGCGGGACCCCTGGCACAGCTTTACAAGCACTCGTGGTACTCTGGCCAGGTGCCAGAGGACTGGAAAAAGGCCAATGTGGTCCCCATTTTCAAAAAAGGGAGGAAGGAGGACCCAGGTAACTATAAGCCTGTTAGTCTTACCTCAGTCCTGGGGCAGCTCTTTGAGAAAATTATCCAGGAGCACATCTGCGAGGGACCAGCAGGTGAGATTATGCTTAGGGGCAACCAACATGGGCTCATTAGGGGCAGGTCCTACCAGACCAACCTGGTTGCCTTTTACAGTCAGGTCACAAAATCCTTGGACGCAGGTGTCGTGGTGGATGTAGTCTTTCTGGACTTTTGGAAGGCTTTTGGCACTGCCTCTCACCCCATTCTCATTAAAAAAATAGGCGACCGTGGCATTGATGCCTACACAGTCAGATGGGTCACAAATTGGCTGGAGGGCCACACCCAGAGAGTGGTGGTGGACGGGTCATTTTCGACCTGGAGGGATGTGGGCAGTGGAGTCCCCCAGGGCTCAGTCCTCGGGCCCGTACAGTTTAACATCTTTCTCAGATCGTGGTGGACGTGAGGCCGCAATGAGCCAGTTTTGCCAAGAGCTGATCATGGGATACCAGACAGAAGGCTTTTTTGAAGTCAATATATATGACATCAATCTCCTCTCCCTTGTCCAGGTGATTGGTCATCTGGTCATAAAAGGAAATAAGATTGGTCAAGCAAGACCTACCCACAACAAATCCATGCTGGCTATCCCTCAGGACGTTGCCGTCAGCCAGTCTGTTAAGAATGGCCTCTTTGATAATCTTTTCAAAGACCTTCCCTGGGATAGAGGTCAGGCTGATGGGCATGTAGTTAGCCTGTAGTTACATGAGGGAGGGAAGCCGGTGCTGCCTCCTGGGACTGGGGAAGGAAACTGAGGCTGATTGCTTGGAGTACTGCTTCCAGTTATGGGTGCCATACTTCGGATGTGACAGCATCAAGAGGGTCCAGAGGAGGGCTACTCACATGATCAGGGGGCAGCATGGTAGGCCGTATGAGGAGAGGCTACAGGACCTGAACCTGTTCAGTCTCCACAAGAGAAGGCTGAGAGGGGATCTGGTGGCCGTCTACAAACTTACCATAGGGGAACGGGTGAGACACTGTTCCTCCAAGCACCTCCCGGAGTAACAAGGAATACCAGCCACAAGTTGATTGAGAGTAGGTTCAGGCTAGACATCAGGAGGCACTACTTCACAGTCAGGGTGGCTAGGATCTGGAACCAACTTCCAAGGGAAGTGTTGCTCGCTCCTACCTTGGAGGTCTTCAAAATGAGGCTAGATAATCACCTAGCTGGGGACATCTGATCCCAGCATTCATTCCTGCCCATGGCAGGAGGGCGGACTTGATGATCTGCTCAGGTCCCTTCCAACCCTTACAACTATGAAACCTCTCTGCTGTCGAGTAGAAGCAACTGGAGAGTCCTGGGAAGCAGGAAGGTGCCAAACAAATAAAACCCAGTCACTTGGCATAGTTGCTTGCATCCCATACCATGGTGCCTCCCTGCCCTGCCGCTGCAAGGATAGTGTTTCACTACAGGCCTCCATCCTGCTTTCAGCCTGGCCACCCCCTCCTTTTCCCTTCATCTTTGATCTTCTCCCACTGCAGCTCTTTACTACTACAGCTGTACCAACTGATGCCCTTCACCACTGCTATGATGCCTTAGAGATCCCTGATCACCCAAAGGCTCTCCTGAGCCATGGGTGAGACATGGCCCTACAGGAATAAGGGGGCAGGGAGGAAATACTTCAAAGAAAGGGGGCAGCTGGATAGACAGGTGCTGGAGCCAG